TTCCGGCGCTGCCACGCTTCTGCTGTGAAAGAATGGAGCTTGGAAAATCGGTCGAGGGGGTGTGATATCTTGTGTCATACCTTGTTTAGGTGTAGCCTGAGCCGGAAATGGGTAGGCTTTCGACGCCTTATAGGGTGGCTGTGGGGGATTGGGGGAAACATGCTTCTTCAGACGTCGTATGGGTTGTTGTGCAGTGTTGTGCCTGGTTGGACGTTGGCAAGCTATCAATCTGGAAGCAGATGGCAGCGGCAGATCTGGATGCTGATGCGCCTACCTCTAGCGTTGCGGGGCAATCGGTTGTTTCTTTCGTGTACAGCCAGCGCAGAAAGCGGTTCCGGTCATCTCGAAGCTGTGCAAAGGCCTAGACCTACAGCACCTAGACTCAGCTAGATATTCCACTCGCTCTTCGTACAGCAGCAGTACACGCCCTACCGAACGGCCGGCAGCCCGGTAGCGCGCACATACAAATCGGTGCCCCCGACAACAGTCTACATTGTAGACTAATTGATTGCTTTCGGCGGTCCTGACATGTTTTTCTAGCAGCATTCTTCTCCTCCCCTACACACCATGAGTCCCCTGTGCGCGCAGGAACATACTCCACTGAACATACGAGCAGGCGGGCTCTGCAAGCCTGCACAGCTCGGGCTTCAGTGTGCAAGCTAGCAGAGCTGAGCTAGCCGAGTACCACCTCCAAACCGTCAAGAACCGCGTGCGCGCGCGCCCAAAAAGTACGGCATGCTTTCCGAACCTTCCGGAAACCCTACCCCCGAACCCCCTAAAGATCCTTTCGCACGATTGGTAATCCGACCTCACAAACTGGCCGTGTTATACCGAAGGTTGCATGACGTAAGATACCACACCCCCGGGACCGATTTTCAAAGCTTCATTACTCCACGACGAAGAGGATGCTGGGATCAAAGGATACATTTTTGGAAAGCTCTCGACGAGACTGTTCCAACGCCGCCATTTTTCGGCACCGTCACTGCTTTTCCTGCCGGGTAATCGAGCTTCGAAAATCGGGCCAAGGGGTGTGATATCTTATGCAACCTACGGAAATCAAGTCTACATACAGCAGTAGTCTACGATACCTTGCGCAAGAGAAAGAGCAACCAAGAACAACGAACATGCCGCAAGTGATGTAAGATATCACCCCCCCTGCCTGTAAACAAAGCTCGATAACTCCGCATGTCCGCATGACAGAAAGGTCTGGTGGCGCCGAAAATGATACTTCTAACATTGGAACTGTCTCATCGAGCATGTGTTGATACAATCCAACTAGACTAACGCTCTTGTGTAAGTACCGCTGCTGTACGATGAAGTCCACAAGATCCCATAATAAATGTATAGTGTACCTTGGATTCCACGAGTCACCATGTAGTTGATGTTGTCGTCGTCCTATTTATTTTGTGCATGAGAGAAACAGCCACATGCATTGATCAGTGCGTGGTTTCTGACAGAGCGACAAATATGTTCAAACGGTTGCAAATTACTACATATTTGTATGGCAATATGGGGGTGTTGGAACCGTCGCGTCGAAAGTCGAGAGCTTTCCGAATACGTGTCGTTTGATTTATTCGTTCTGCTGTTCGTCATGGAGTAGTCGAGGCGCTGGAATCGGTTCAGGGGGTGTGATACATCTCCCTCCACTCGTCAATGTTCTCCTGACGGTTCGATCTGCCTTGCTCTTCCGAGCTCGCAGCGATGCGCGCCTCTCTATTTAACATTGCATATTGGTTCTCGCACCACGGGCGTCTACAATCGAGAAATACAAAGAAATATCGTACGTCAATTGTTTTTGGATGGTGTTTTCGCCCATGACTGTAAGTAACCTATATATCTAGCCTGCCCTTGAGTCTCGCGCGCTGATGCGCGCCGTGCCCTACTCTAGAGACGACGGGACGCGTGGGAACATCGAACATCCGCTAGCCATGCTCCGAAACCAAATGTCCTCTCTCATTGGTTCCGAATACTGCTCTCTGCTGAAGATTGCATGCGTGCGCTCTCGCTGCTGAAGCTGACGCTTGTTACCTGCCTTGAATACGTGGTAGCTAATTGGGTGAGAATATTACAGCATCGCACATGGAACACGGCCCTCTATTTCAATAGGAGCACAGGTACTTCCGGTCGGCTTTTACGAACGAGTGGGCTGTCGGCTTCGATGGTTTTTGCAACTGCTGTTGTGGATTTGTTGTACAGTGACAACATGTACATCAAACTCGGCGTTCCGGAAAACGCGGCTGGGAGTCTGACGATCGATACAGATCTGACTACAAATACAGATGAACTGGACTGGAGAACTCCTACCATGTAGACTATTCATGCCACAGATGCCAGTGCACAGAGCAGAGCGATAGTTGGATTTTTGCCTCTTTGAATGGCCGGGGGCGGGTGTGCTGAATTTCTGTGTGGCTTTTTCGCAATGTTCCTCCGGTTGGTGAATTTGGCCGTTACCATGGCGGCCGCCTTTTGTCTGGATACCGTTTATTCTTGTTCTGCAATCTGCATTTCTCGGCGGAGCAGGGAGGGCCTGAGTGTTGCTTTACAGCACATGTCCTGTGTGTAGTGAACGAACGACTACTGTAGTGGATTTCGACATTGCAAGGAATATGGCTTTGGGAAAGACATGTGGCTGTTTGGCTTTCTTCAAAGCCCGGGGGCGGGTGTGGTTGGCTACCGTACTTGTCGGAGAAATAGCACCGGGCGGAGAGATGGCACCGATCGGGGAGATGGCACCACCGGGGTACGTAAACATATTTTATATACGAAATATAGAAGAACGGAATGTTTGGATGTGCGCTCACATGTGGCATTGTGTATGCATAAATTTGTTTGCGCCATGCGCATATTTCGCCGCCTCGTTCGGGAAACGCAGCATATGCAAACGTATGTGTATTGTATGGCATATTTCGCCTTCCCTTTTGCGGCTCAGATATTCGTGTGGAAAAGACCGTGTGTGTGCGTGGGTGTGCTTACACCGCATATCGTCTGCTTGTGGAGACCGGTACACTCTACCAATACTATGATGCCGGTCGGAGAGATGTCACCGGGGGTGCCTTGAAAAGCTAAACCTCATCATTATTTGCTTTCCCGCACCGGGGGGTCGGAGAGATGTCACTTCCGTGGAGAGCCGTGGTGCCATACGAGGTAAAAACATTGAAAAAACGGTCGAACCCGGTGCAATTTCTCCGCCTTTTACGTTACAGTGTCGACGGCCCTAGCCCTGGGCTGTCATACACACACCACATCCTCACTACACGCGCACACGCAGCAAGTCGACACTTTCCTCTGTTGGGTCTGGACCGTTCGTTCTCCTCTCTTCTATTCTCTTCTCTTCTCTTCTCCGACCACGAAGAAGGAAGATCAAGCTCGCCAGTGCTTCCCTCGAGACCTCCGTGTGTATGTACCACCGCATGTTTGTTTGCTTGCATACGCTATGCCCCAACTTTGGTCGAAACGGTCGTGGGCTTCATGGCTTCGTTCCACCTGTCTGTACGGCTCTACGGGCAAACACGTCCTATCCTACATCCATCTTTTCGATACTTTTCGTGCCAATTTTTTTCGTGTGATGAGGCGTCGTAGTATATGTACCGTTTTCGTGACCGTTTCTGTACGGTCGCCCCAAGGTGTTGGAACATTGACTTGTATTTTCAAGGTGGGTCACCCACCACCTGCGATGTTTTGTTCCCTTTAGGTTGGTCACGTCTTTCCGTTTTTTTTGTTCGTGCGTGTTCACCCCCAACGATTACTATAATACTCCGTGCAGTTCATTTGGCTGGACATATATATATCACCGTCCTTCGGCGAAAATGCGTGATTCCGTGGAGGTGACAGCAACCATGATTGCCATCACGCCATCTTCGATCTTCGTCTCTGCCTTAAGCACTTGCCATCTTAGTATAATACTGCTGAACTCCAAGAAACAGGAGCGGTGAACACCCCAAAAATCATCGGAAAATAGGGCTATTATGGTACCATTATACATTTGTAGCAGAGAGATGGCTACGAAGAGGGTGCCTCTTGGAGGGACGCCCCCCCCCATGTGCGTAGTTTTTTCTGGGGGGTATGCAGTGTGCAGGGTGAGTTTTGCGGCGCGGTGTCCCCTCATAGGTGTCGTACATCACCTTGGGTCGACAAGGAGAAGGAGGAATCGGACGTGAACCAATGATTTTGACTTGGAGGAAAAACAGGTGGATGTTTATTGATGTATCACGGAAGCATCGCACGCGTGACTTATACAAACGACAATTATTGTGGAAGATCCCCCCCCAAGACAACAAGAAACACCTTTAAGAATTGATCTTAAGAAAGAAGATCAACGACGTGTTTTTTTTCCCTTACAATTAGAGTTTCCTCGACCCACTTCGACGCGTCTTACAGAGCCGTTTAGAACAGTACAGCAGTAGGCTGCAACACGCGTGGAAGTTAATTAATGTACTAGCCAGGGAAAACTTCGCGACTCCCCTCCAGAACGCACGCCTCCCTGTGGGTTTTCACTTTCTACAGCAATGCAACCCCTTTTTTTTATCGAAAACGGCCATGTTATGAGCAACCCACAACACCAAGCTGTCACACGCGCGTGATGCCTGCCCCCCCCTCCCCCCTTTTTTTTTTCTTCTTTTTTCTGATGTTTCCTGCGGCATTTGCCGACCTCCTCCTCTCAGCGAGCGCGTTCATCGCCCCGTCGGCGTTTTTGGGAGCATCGTCTCCTGCTGGGCGAATGGCGGCGGCGGAGGGGTCCACGGGACTGTCGATGGTGGCGGCAGGACCCGACGCGAAAGTTTTGGAGCAGCCCCTGATCGCGGATGACATCACGCAGCTCATCGGCAAGGTACAAGCAGTTGGGGGCATAGGGGGGGGGGGGGAGGGCACAAGAGTTGTCCTCGCCGAGGGTCTGAGGCACCATCGACCGCGTATTCCGTGTGAGAAAGAGGCGAAGATCAGCGTGGCAACTAAATGACGGACCCGACCGTTTTTTTTATTTTTATTTTTTTGCCTCTGATTGCCTACCCTAACGTGTTGGCGGGAAGCCCGAACCCTGACCCCTGAACATGGCTGCGTGAATGAGTGTTTCCTTGGATCAACGCACATAGAAGTATGATACAATGTGCCGCTTTTCCGGCGGAGCTTGTTGACGAGAGGTGATAGGCTCCCCTCTTGACCGATCGGCGGTGGTGGTCTCTCCCTCTGAACACACGCGTGCCGTATGTACATCTTTCGCTTGCCACAGACGCCGCTTGTCCGGCTAAACCGAGTTACCGAAGGGTGCGAGGCTACCATCCTCGCCAAGCTTGAGTCCATGGAGCCCTGCAACTCCGTCAAGGACAGAATCGGACTCAGGTACGGTATGGTGGTGGCCTGGCCCCTCAATAGTTCCGGTTGAACAGGCGTAATTTACTGCCCGGTATTGTGCCACTGACCACTGACCAAGTCGCGTGACGCGGATGGAATGCGATGTTCGACTTGTCTCAGTCTCTGAATAGTGCTGCTCACCCGGGAACATGGCGATGAATTTTGGCGAGCACATGCCAGCAACTATCGAGACTCCCACTCTGTAGAGGTTGCTGCTCTTTACAAAGCTCCATGCGCCGCTTTTTTTTTTTTTTTTCCATCGGAATCAGTGGCGTGATGAAGCTACATATGCATGCAACGCTGCAGAAAGTGTTCGCAAAGCGAAAGGACTTGATGCCACGAAAAATATTGATTAATTAAGATCATAACACACCCCTTACATATGTATATACATTTTTTTTTTTATTCTAACCGTTTTGTGATGACCAATAGGTATAGGGAGTTTTTATTTTCATTAGTGTACTTTTTTTTTTTTTTGGGGGGCAAAATGGTAGTTGCGGCAGCTGCTGCGGCCGTCGATGTGTTCGTCCCCGGTGTGGGTTGTACTGCCTCCCAGACAACGGGATTGACCTAGTTGGTTTGCGTGAGGCATGTCTCTACGGTGGTTTGCCGTGACGTCATGTTCGCTCTGTCCGGGTGATGCGATACCATCCAGGCGTGTTGTTATTATTTGTATTATTTCGCAACGACAGCACGAACAGACGTGGCCAAAACTGAAAGCCGTAAACCGGTTTGTGGGGCAACGGAGGGTGGTGCTCGTGTAGTCACCGCCAGCAATACATCATTTTTGCCGCCAGCAGTGCCTCAGTTTCACGTCTGTTTTGCACCTTACGGTATGTTGGGCCACTGCAGCCAAGACCAGCCACGAGCATGGCCGATGGCACAGGCTTTTTTATTTGTGTTGCTCTCCCACCTCCCTACTGCTGCGTATTAATTTTGGACCCCATCAGCATGATCGACGAAGCGGAGAAGCGCGGACAGATCAAGCCCGGCGTGACGACTCTCGTGGAGCCGACGAGCGGCAACACTGGTATCGCGTGTGCCATGGTTGCGGCGGCGAGGGGCTACGACATGGTCCTCACCATGCCGGACAGCATGTCCCTCGAGCGCAGGGTGTTGCTTAAGGTACGCTAGCCAGCCGTGGATGAACGATGGCGACGACGGGGGGGCGTTTGGGTGCGTGGGAATTGTTGTTATGGTAGCATCGACCGCGCTACTGTAGCCGGCTGGTCTAAACAGTCTCAGGAGCGGCTAGAAGCTGGAAACGTTGGTGTCTGTGTTTATTGCCATTGGCTGCGCTAACCGGCTGACCAATGATACTGTAAGGTGTCAGTTCCACCGTGGCTGATAACGTGTTTTTTTTGTGTGTTCTATGTGTTTTTCGGCGTCGGGTGCGTCAACCGGCTGACCATACGTAATCGGTTCAACTGCCCGAGGACCTCTCGAAACCGATGTTGCCGCACAACGCGGTGTGCGTGCAATACTGCCGAAATGTTTTCGCGCAGGCGTTCGGTGCCCGGCTGGTGCTGACGCCCGCGACGAAGGGCATGGGAGGAGCGGTGGCGAAGGCGGAGGCTATCGTGTCCGACCTCGGGGAGAACGCCTTCATGCTCCAGCAGTTCAACAACCCTGACAACCCCAAGGTACAAATGCAGTACTGTAGGGGGGGAGAGGAAAGCTTAGCTTGAGCTTCACATTGGCATCATGACACAGAATCACGCTTGCGCTTCACATTGCACCGAGAATACAGCAGCACAGGCGGAAAACCCGGCGTGCTCTGTCCCGACTTTGTAGGGATGCGAGGTCAATGGTCTAGGTCTAACGACTACGGCATGCACGGGCTTTGAGTACACCCTCCCCCCCGCCCCTCTCTGATGGAACGTTCCTCCGACAAGGCGCCTCCATACGCAGAAGAGAGAGTCAATTGTTCCCACCGCCTCAGCACCGGAAATTTCCCGGGCGGGTTCTCGTCCGTTTGGCGCTCCCGTACCCTCATCCGTTGATGTTTAGTTTTTGTATTGTTTGTTCGGTTTTGTGCCCTCGGTGCCGTGTCCTCTGGGGTCTCCAGATCCACCGCGAGACCACCGGACCCGAGCTGTGGACGCAGACCGCCGGGAAGATCGACGCCCTCGTGGCCGGGGTGGGCACCGGCGGGACCCTGACCGGATCAGGCCAGTACCTGAAGGTCATGAAGCCTGCCGTCAAGGCGAGTGCTGAAGAGAGGCAGCACGCTGTTTATTTCTTGTGGGAGAGTGGCGGGCGCGGTGTTGCTGTTGACGATGCCCTCGGGTGTTGGGTTCGTGGGGGCTCGTGGTGGAGGTGCGGTTGCCTCTTTTTGTTGGTTGGGGGTGTGAACTGCTGTAGCCTTGTGCACATTCCCGAAAGATGTTTGGCTTCTGTGCTCTGGACGACCTCCCTCTCATGCTCGACTGAGTCTACCCATTTGCCTGTCTGGATTTGGCTCACCTGTCTGTCTGTCTGTCTGTCTGTCTGTCTGTCTGTCTGTCTGTCTGTCTGTCTGTCTGTCTCACTCTTTCCTCTATCCCCTCTCTCATCGTTTGGTCACCGGTTGTCGGACTTGCTCCTGCTTTGCTCGCTCGTGTTTCTAGCTTTGCGCGGTGGAGCCCGTCGAGTCTGCGGTCCTCTCCGGCGGCAAGCCCGGCCCGCACAAGATCCAGGGGATTGGGGCCGGCTTCATCCCCGGCAACTGCGACACGTCCCTCATCGACGAGGTCAGAACCACCACGAAAACGAACAAAAATACTCATGAGAATACAATGCTATGCCAAAGACGTGTATATTGTATTTGAAGACAGCCGATGAAAATCAATTCATGAAAAGCCACTCACGCCACCGGTCGAGCGTTAACGGAAATGTTTTTACTTGCGCACAACTGCAGGTTCTTAAGGTGACGTCGGACGAGTCGATGGCCATGGCCCGCGAGCTTGCGAAGAAGGAAGGGCTCCTTGTTGGTATCTCCGCTGGCGGTGCCGTCCACGTAAGTTGCTGTTTACAAGCATGTCTTCTACCACCCGGCGTTTTGTATTTGTTTGGGCACTACGAGGTGATGTCATTGCCCCCCTCCCCCCCCCCCCCCCCCCCCCCCCCCCCCCCCCAACCGTTTTTTTTTTCCCCCCCCTTCTCCTTTTTTTCCCTCTTTTTTTTCTCATTTTTTTTTCTCCTCCCTTTTTTTTTTTTTTTTTT